GCAGCACCAAACTTCACACAGGCTAGATGGGGACAACAGGGGCCTGGTCCAGGGTCCCATGGCTCCAGAGACAGAGCTGGACTAGAATTCACCGGCTGGCAGAGGGTGGTCCTCTCACCCTCTCATTCAGACAGTCCCTGGGCACCAGGGACATTTGACATGCTTGTCCCTACTCTGTCCACCGCTGCTCCTCAGGCATGAAAGAGTGTTTCACAAAGTTTTGTTGCATCACCCCAGTGAGAGATGCATTTGATGGTATCCCCAAATGTGTTATGAACACCCATGTTAGGGCTGCAAGGGCTGTATATGCACCATTTCATTTAATCAGTAACAGCCCAGGAGGCTGGTGACTGCCATTACCATCCTTGTTTGACATACGGGGCAACTGAGGCACAGACAGACCAAGCACCTTGCCCAAGGTCACATAGCCAGAAGGGGTGGGACTGGAGTCGAACCCCAAGTCTGTCTTGGGAACCACGAGCGTCCCCAGGGTGCCAGGCAAACCCGCCCAGAGGCAGGGGAGTCGGTCCCCCTATTCCTCACCCACTAGATCTGAGCCGGTTTTTATCAAGTGATTTCCCATGGCTCTTCCCGAGCCCTTGACCCAGATCAAGGACTTCTGTTCTGTCCCTGTTCTATCAAGCAAGTCACTGGGTGTGTTCTGGGGCTCCAGGCAGGGAACAGAGTGACCAGGACCCAGAGCCAGCAGGACAGCCCATGCCAGGTGGGAGACAGTGGCCAGCAAGCAGTGACAGCAACAAAAGGCTCAGGCAGTGGTCTGTGCTCTGAGACCCTTCCACTGGACACCTCGAGTGGGGGAGGGCAGATGAAGAAGATGGACGTGCCCAAGAAGGTGACCTGTGACCCGAGGGAGGAGGAGGGGCAAGGAGACAGAGGCAAAGCCATGTGCTCCCAGAACTGAGAGAAGGCCTGGCTGGTCGGGGTTCGGCTCAGGGCCAGAAACAGGTTTTTGGAGGGCCCCAAAATTTCCATTCTTTGGAAGGTCCCTTTTAAGAATACAAGTAGTTAATCACAAAGACAAAATTGCTATGGCCTCTCCTTGGGCCTTGAAAACCCTAAAGCTGAAGCCTCATCGGCCTCATGGAAAATGTGTCATTAGCTAGAAGTGGGTATTCCTGGGTTGCCAAATGCCTATTAATGCACTAGGCACACAGACACACACAGACACCCAGAGACAGAAACACACACACACGCTAAGCAGAACATTTGTTTTGAATAAATGAGTAAATAAACTCTCATTATTATTACAAGCAATCATAACAATATGCACTGAGTACCAGCCAACACTTACTGTGTGCCAGGCACTGTTTTTAGAGCTTATTTATCTTCACTACAACCCAATAAGGGGAGTACTATCATTATCCCCATTGTAAGAGGAGGACAATGAGGCTCAGAGTGGCTAAGCGACTCTCCCAAGGTCACACAGAAAGAAGTAAACCTGGGCAGCTGGACTGGGAGTCCATACTCGGAAACATGCTAGCAGTGCACCTGCTGTCTCAGGTGGCAGTGACCTTATTCAGACGCCCCTCCCCATCCCAGAGCTCAGATTCTGGAAGCGGAGACAGTCACTAAAGCCAGACATCAGGAAATGACATCATGGGTTCCAAAGGGATCCCAGTGTGGGGGAAAATTCAGCAAGGAAGCAGACAGGGACCACAGGGCTGAGGTTTTAAGTAGGTGACCAGGGAAGGCCTCACAGAGAAGGTGATGACATTTGAGCAAAGACTGGAAGGAAGGAAGGGGTGCTGGGAACATAGAGGTGGGTCAGAGCTGGCACACCCCAAAAGGCACTAGAGAAGCGAGGGAGGGTGACAACTGGGTACACAGAGGACCCCAATTCAGTGTGGGAAGGGCTGAGAACGAAAAGCCCAATCCTGCAGGAGCACCTAAGGATACACCCACATAGCCTGACCTGAGGAGGCAGAACGGGGGGCTTCCTGGAGGAGTATGCCAGAGAATCACTAAACTTTGATTACAGACCAGTCAGAGTTAGGCAGGACAAGGTTGGGGTGAGATGCAGAGGTTGCAGGGTGAAGTGGGAAGGGGGCCAGGCAGAAGGCCCAGCAGGGACAAAGGCCCAAGGCATGGAGTGGCCTGGTCTGTCAGGGAAAGAAGAGCAGGTTGGAACTATGGAAGCACAGAGGGTGAGGAAGGGACAGGGGGATGTGGTAGGCAGAACAGGGGACCTGGCTTGAACTTCAAAGGGCCTTGAACACAGAGGTGAGGGTTGGGACCTTGTCCTGAAAATGCGGGCCACTGGAGGGGCAGGGCAGCTCCAGGTGCAAGGAGAGTCCTAACGCTGAGAGCCGGGAAGGAAACCAGGGTGAGGGTCCAGCAGGGAGAAGATGAGGCCTGAACTGCTGAAGCTGTGAGGATGGAGAAGAGGGAATAGGGCAGGGAGACAGAGAGGGCAGGTGGGCCCGGCTGAGAGCCAATGGGCTGTGGGAAGTGAGTGGTGGGTCTAGCCCAGTGATTAGGTCATTGCCAGGGTTTGAATCATTTATTTCTTCAGAAAGGGACACATCAACAGACACATCCATGGAGACAGGATGCAATGGAGGGGGCCCCAGGGCACTGTGGGCGGGGCACAAACCACCCACGCTTTGGGAAAGTTTGCAAGCTGATACCAGGATGCTCCACTTTTCCTCTCACGGAGCACACACAGAGAAGGCACCCACATGCAAGGGCCCTGGCTGGTGATGCTGGGACCCAGAGCTGAGTGAACCCTGTAAGCCTTCCTGGGGGGGGGAGACAGATGTGACCCCAGATGTCTCAGGCCAGGGACCCAGGCTGGGGCTGGATCAGGGCTGAGAGAGGCCCAGGGGGCTACGGAGCCCAAAGGAACAGTCAGAGGTGGGAGGAGCCCAGGAGAGTGTGGTCCCAGAACCCCAAGAGGAGCATGTTTCAAAAAGCCTGGAGGCAGCAAAGGCTGGATGTGGAGCGGCTGTGGAGTGGGATGGGGGAGGTGGCGCAGACTGGAGCAGGTTTCAGTGCTGCCTGTCGCTGCCTATTGGATGACGTGGCAAGTTACAGAGCCTTCGTGGGCCTCAGTTTCCTCACCTGTCCAGCGGGATTAGTACATCTAGAGAATATTGAAAGGACTGAATGGATAAATCTCAGCCAAGGGCTTAGCACACTGCCTGATGAACAGTTAAGTACCCACCAAACGTGAACTGTTATGATTACCAAAGTTTTCATGGCAAGGCCTGGCTCATGGGTCCTTCTCTCCATCACATACTTCAGCCTGGCAGGGGCCTCACTTCACCCACCCAGAGGCCTCCAGCATGCCGGGTCCTGTGTGGGACAATGCTGGAGACACAGTGGCAGGGTCCCAGTATGATGGAGTGGAGGGGGAGAGATAAGGATGGGCAGTCACCCCCTTGCCTGGTTTAGGGCAAGTACGGAGAGAAAGTGGACTGGGGAGTGTTGTCTGATTTACCTCTGTCCACACCAGCTTCTCCCTGGAGACAAGCCAGGCTCTCAGAGAGGTCCCCAAACAGTCTCATGGAGGATATGAGCCACCCCAAAGACTCAGCAGACTGGATTCCATCGCTAGCAAACACTTTTCCCCTCCCTTCCTAGCTCGAGCCTCTTCACTCACCCTGTAGCTTTGGAGGGTGGAACGGAGCTCCTGGGTTCCCCCAGCACCCTGTCTGAGCTCCATTATAGCACGTTTCCTGTACTGTAAGAGTCGATGGAGTTTGCAATGCAGCCTAGTGGGCGAAAGCAAGGCTTGTGTGCAAAGCATTCTCTGGGGTGCGGACTCAGACGGACCTGGACAGCAATCTCCGCTCTGCCCCTTCGGGTCAGTGACCTTTCTGTGCCTCAGTTTCTCCGTGTGTTAAACAGGGAACATGACTCCTCCAGCACGTTAAGAAATAGCGACGGTAACTCGCCCTGCTCGCAATTATTAAGACAGTGCGTTCAGAACCAGGGAAAAGGAAATGGGGTCATAACCCCCGAGGGACGTTCGGAGGTCAGAACCTCAGTCCTTGATCTTTGCCCGGAGGTGCGACTTTGACGTTCGGGGAGGAGAGCCGCGGAGATCAGAGGTTACGCGAAGACCCCCCATACAGCGTGCGCTCGCGATCCCGGAAGCACACGGCCGCGGGGCACAGGGAGATGGGAGAGGGGAGCCCGGTCACCTTCACGGCGAAGTCGATGACCCTCTTGACTGCCACGAGCGCGCGCAGCTCCGCCATCTTCCAGCCTCAGCCACCCACCCGGTCAGGCCTCACCCTCCGCCTCTGGGTCCCGACGCCCTGCCCTGTTCTCTTTTGCGCCTGCGCCGGGGCCGCCAGCCATTCAGTCTCTACGGGGCCCGCCTCCGCCCCGACAAGGGGCCAATCGAGAGGCCGGAGTGCGGAGGTGTGTCAGGCGGATGTGGGCCCATAGGAAACGGATTCTGGAGAGAGCGGTGGGACCCGGCGGGCACGGGACGTTGGCTTGGTGAAGCGGGCGTGGCAGGGAACTAGGGGAAAGGTCGTGGAGGCGCTCTCGGGAGTGGAACTGCTACCTGACGTCCTAAAATTTTTCAGCGTTCTCAGATCTACCCCCGCCCCTAGGTCCCTGCCTCTTCCTCGCCTCTCAAAGTCGTAGTGTCCGTGTCCCCACGCCCACCCCGTGCCAATGATGCCCCCGCTTCTGAGTCCTCCCGTGTCTGTCTCCCTGTTTCCTCCATGTCCGTATCCCTACAGCCTTTCCATGTGCCCCTGTCCGCTCCTGACTCCACTCCGCCTTGTCCCCGTTCCCCTCCACATCCACGTCCTTTGTCCACTCCATATTTGTAACTCCATGCCCGTGTCCCCCAGGCCTTCACGTCCCCTAGAGCTTCATGTCCTTATGTCCTCTCTGAGCCTCTGTCTACCCCCGTGCCCGAATCTCCGTGCTCTTCAGAGTCATATTTCCACATGTGTCCATGTCTCCCGTGTCCGCGTCCTCACATCCCCCAGAAAGGCAGGCGGAGCCGCGGAGGTCGACCTGTTCCTTTATTCTGCCCCAGGCAGGCTACTGTCACAAGCACACGGGAAAACCACCGATGGCATCTGTACTCTGCACGATCATGTCCGCCATCAGGAAGCAGAAGCCTGACGGGAGGGGAGAGGAGGACGGGTGGGGGGCGGTGGGTCCTGGGGCGGATGACCGGGAGGGCCTCAGAGCCTGGGGTTTGGGGCTCCAAGGAGTCTCTGCAGGGTCTGTGAATGTCGGGAGTGGAGTATGGTGGGGAAGGTCCCCTGGAGGTCAAAATGGGGTTTGTGGAAGGACGGCCAGGGAGTCTCCGCGGGAGAGGGGGGTCCCCTGGGTAGGCTTCTCCACCCTCTCCCCGCTGTCCACATTACCGGCGAGAATACAGAATGGTAAAGCCAGCCACCCCGAAAAATAGGACCAGGAGAAGAAGACGTCGCTTTTCCACGCATTCTTTACGGTGTAGCCTGTCAAAGCAATCAGCAGCAGCAAGCCTGGCCCCGCCCACCCGCTAGGTAAGCATGGCCCGGAGAGGCTGCACCTAGGCCCCACCCAGAACCCCGCTCACCGCCCAGACCACGCCCCTTCCGGGCGGTCCCCGCTAGACAAGACCACGCCCATCGCCTGAGGGCCGCCCTTGACCCCTCCCCTTCCAGCTCTGCACACCCTTCTGGGTCACCAGCTCCTCCCCTCAGCTCACTTCCTGCGGAACCCTGCCCTTTGTCGGGAGGCCTGCTGCTGTCTCACCGCAGAGGAAGAAGATAGCGCTCGTAGTCCGGCCCCGCGAGTCGCCCTCGTGACACACAATCCGCAGCCCCATCACCAGGCCCACGATGCTGGAGCCCGCCGCCAGCACCATGCATGCCCCGGTCACCGCCAGCATGGCTGGGGAGAGCCGGCTGCCTCAGCCCCGCGCAGACGCCGTGCCTGACCACCGCCCCCACCAGCCGGTACCGGCTGGCCGCAGAGTCAGGGGTTTGGATAGGGACTTGAAAGTCGTCCTGAGGGCTTGTCGTGTTCGTGGTGGCTTCGATCACGGAGGGGCAGCTGGATCTGAGACCGTCGTGGAAGGGATTGAACGCCCCCTCCCCCCCCCCCCGCAGGATGTTCCCAGCTGTGTCAGGGGAGGGTGGACAGCTGTGGTCAGTTCTGGGTCTGTGTAGTGGGGGTTTGACATCTGGTTGGGCTGGGCCTCACTCTGGCAGGGGATGTTAGAGCAGATGCCACCGTTACAATCCTGCCACAGGCCGCTGTGTCCCCCCGGGAAGCGGATCCAGTAGTTGGTGGCAGTGGAGAGAAGCATGAAGATGTTGGCCAAGAAACCCAGTAGGGTGCCACCGCTCTGAAGGCTCCTCTTCACCCCCATGCCAGGGAGGCTGCTGCGGGGGAGAGGGGCCCACACATACATGATTGGCCACCACCCCTCCTGTCCCCAGGCCTCTCCAGGTTCCAAGAGCCTCTCCCATATGTCCCTCCATATCACAGTTGGCTATCTTAGCACCCCTGCCTGGGTCTGCTACTTCCGGGGACCTGGAAGCACCCCCTCAGTTCCTCCCACTATGGCTTCATCCCTCAACAACCATGCCTGGGGACTTTGAGGCCTCCCTCCCCTCCAGGAGTCACTGCTTAGGAACCTCCCTGCCTTCCAGAGACCTCCATCCCCCCAGTGGAATGCCCCTTTGGCCCGTCTAGTGTGTTCCCCACTCTCCACACCCACACATCCACCTAAATGACTTACAGCCTGCTCCCAGGACTTCTTCGAAGCAGATCTCAGAAGGGTGGGGGAAGGGGGACTGGGTCAGTCTCTGTGAGGCAGCAGGAGTTCCAGAACCCCCTCTCCCAGCAGCCATTTAAAGAGATAACCACACACACACACACACACACACACACACACACACACACAGAGGCATCTCTCCCAGCAAAGCGACAGCTCAGAGTCAAATGGCAGGTCTGGGGGGAGCCTGAGGGCCATGATATGCGAGACCATGTCCTTCTAAAAACCTCTCTGCCCTTGACCCCATAAACACTCCTGGTCCCTGGCTTTGACCATGCTTCCCAGGTGCCCACACAGGCTCCTGCCCCTCCTGCTCCCTGCATCCTGTACCTGCCATTGGGTGAGCTTCCTCATTCCCACAGTTCCAGGGACCACGAGGCTCTGAAAGCATCTCAAACTCCATCTCTGGCCCTGGTCTCTCTCCCGAACCTTAGACCGGAGTCCTTACCTGCTCCTGGCTGTCTCCCAGACCCCTGGCACACAGTTATCTCCCACCTGAGCTCAGCATGTCCCACCAAACAAGGATAGCCCCACCGTTCCACCCCTGGGCACTATCCTTGCACCTTTCCTGCCCCTCACCCCAAAAAGCCCTTGGACCCCAAGTCTGGTTTCTCCTGCTCCCTGAATCTTTCTGGCTCCTTCCCTCCTGTCCACCTCATGTCCTGTTCCCAGTCAGGCCTTGTACTGACTTCTGTTTCACCTGTTGCATCACCAATCTCCTCTCTCCCTTTCAGCCTCTTGGGTGCTCCAGACAGGGCTTGCTGGCCCCGGGAGCTGACACTGTCCCTCCCCTGCTTGCATCCTGGCTCCCTAATCCCCTCAGGAGAGAGTCAGTTGTGGCGTTAGGGGTCCTGGCTCCCACCCACCACTCCATTCTCATTTTCTCCCATTCCCACATTGCACATCCCGGCCACAAAGACTGTTTACCCTCTGGACACTTCCAGCCTTTTCATGCCTCCACCTTGGAGTTCTTCTGCCTGGATTACCTTCCCTTGGCCCTTAAGAAGTCTCTAAACAGCCCTGGCTGATGTGGCTCAGTGGATTGAGTGCCAGCCTGTGAACCAAAGGGTCACTGGTTTGATTCCCAGTCAGGGCACAGGCCTGGGTTGCAGGCCAGGTCCCCAGTGCAGGGGGCAGGGGCCTCGAGAGGCAACCACACACTGATGTTTCTCTCTTTCTCTTTCTCCCTCCCTTCCCCTCTCTCTGAAAATAAATAAATACAATTTTTTAAAAACACCCTCTTCCCCAGAAAGCTCACGTCCACCTTCCCCCACAACATGACCACACTTTGTCCCACGCCCTGACAGTAACCTGTATTAACCCACCCCACCCACCACTGGACTTGCAGCCCTGTGAGGCCCAGCAAAAAGTATGCACTTGGGAAAAGCCAGCAGGACAGAGTGAATTAATGGAATGAGCAAGGAGAACTAGAGCACAGGCGAAGCAGAGCACAGGTGAGGGACACAGAGGGAGTGAGAAGGAAAGTGCTAAAACATGAAAGGCACAGGGAAGAAAAGAGAAAGAAGAGAAATGGAAACAGAAGTAGGAGGAAGGAGAACAACCAGGACCAGAGAAGGGGACAGAGAATATAGGGCACTGACCAAGTCCACCCTGGCCTCTCTCACCCTGGGCAGGAGTCCCCTGAGAACACGTGGAGGTTTCTCACTCTTCTGGGTGCCCACTGTCACCCACCACAGAGCTAGTGTGCCATCGGTTTGTGTCATGGGTAAATGAATCTCAGAATAATCAGATTCCAGCAATCTGTTTTTGAATGAATGAAGACACAAACCAAGGGGCTATGGAAGGGCTGGTGGGGAGGGCCGAGGGAGGGCCAGGGGATCCTGTGGTTCCTGACGATGCCTTCACACCTGCTGTCTTCACCTGCAGCTCACAGGGTGTCGTAGTTGGGCCAAGGGGCCTGGCAGTGGGCAACCAGACTCAGGCCACCTGGAATGGCAGAGGGAGGTTAGCACTGCCCCCACCCTGCTCCCTCAGAGCCCCCAGCTGGCCCTCCCAAGCTCCCAGGGCAACAGTTACCTGTAGTGAGAAAAAGGGGAACTGAAGTCCAGCCCAGGTAGAAGGACCAGCCGAACAAGGACTGGACCTGGGAGTTTCCAGGTTGGCTCCACCGCTCACTGGTATAGACCGTCATGGCCACCGCCATGGTGGGGGCTGGGACAAGAGGCAAGAAGACTGCTCAGCCTCTCTGTGGGAACTCACAGTCCCCAATGCCCATGGGCAGCCCAGAGTCCTCACCTGCGATGAAGGCTGTGATGGAAGAAACCAGGGGGCCTTGGCCTGGGGCAGACAGCGAGGGGATGCAGGACAGGACCAGGAAACCCACAGATGCCAGGCCGCACAGGGCAGCCAGGATGTTGAAGGTCTGCGTCACGCGGATGTAGCCTGCTCAGACAGGGGACTGCTGAGGGCCTGTTCCCTCTGGCTCTTCTCCCCGACCCCCCAGACAGGAGAAACCACTCCCTATTACCTGCTACAGAGTGCTGATCCCCCTTTGGCCAGAGGCCGGAGTGAGAAGAGTAGTTGGGCCCATGGGCCACAAACCAGAAATCTGTGCTCATAGCAACGAGGACAGATGTCAGGGCCAGGGAGCCAGCCAGCAGGGCCAGGGACCGACAGGGCTCCATGGGGGTGAGTGCTGGGTTTCTGGGTCCTGAGGAATGAGGAAGCTGGTGGTCCAGACTGGGTTTCTGAGAAAAGAGGCTGTGTCCCCTGACTCCTGGGGCCTGTCTGAGCTGCTAGAAAAAAAAAAAAGAAGAAGAAGAAGAAGAAGAAGAAGCCAGCAAGCAATACAGGCAACTGGAGGAGCCTGTGCTCCTTCAGAGCAGGCTGGTTCTGTGTTTCACCTTTTCAGTTCCCGGCAACCACTCTGTTACACACCCTCCCTTCCTCGGCTATATAACTTCTCCGCTTCCTGAGGTCCTGGTTGTGTGAGGGGAAGGGTGTCATCATCATCAGTGGTTTGGTCAGTGGTTCAGAACATGCCTCTTTAGCTCAGGTTCTATACCTTCCCCCCTCCCCAGAGCCCTCAACACCCAAGGGGGCTTCCTGGAAGAGATGAGAGAGAGGCTTCAGAGCTCAGACGTGGAGGTGACAAATGAGGCCAGGGTGTAAATTGTGAGGAGGGATGTGGCCAGAAGGGACAGTTGGGCATGCGCTGTGTTTTCTTGTGGGTGTTGCAACCTTCCGGTCCAGGAGAGCAGAGCCTTTGCTCTAGGGTCCCCACAAAAGGAGGGGGCTGGAGGCCATGGTGCCTGGGCTGGGGCTGAAGGAGAAACGATCTGCAGGCGTGGACACCAAGTCCTGAGGGAGGAAGGGGTGGGTGGAGCCCGGTGGCAGGCTCAGACTCCTGGAGCCCTGCTTGGAGCTTATGCTCAAGGCAGGCAAACTGTGGAGAATCACAGTTCTAAAAGTCTGTGGAGGGAAAGACACACCCACATCCTCCTCTATAAATGAGCTCACAGACAGCTCTGCTCTGAGCATGGCTGGCTTTATCACCAGGACCACGGTAGCTGGCGGGGGGCTTCTTCCTCTCACACCAGCATCAGCGCCTCACCTGTGAGCAGGTATAAGGTGAAAGTACCACAGCCCGGGCAGAAGGCCCAGGCAAACTTGACCCCTGTGAACCTGGAATGGCCCTGAAGAGGACCTCTGTTGTGAAGACAAACTGAGCCAGCAGTCCCAGGACCGCTGGAGAAGGAAGAACCAGTGACCCAGCAGGCCAGTTCTCTTCCTTTATGGGAGAGGCCCCCATCCTCCACCCAAACCTTCACCAGTGAGGTAACCGGCCATTCCTAAGGACATGGCCTCAAGGACAGGCTCTCAGAGGTGGAGCCAGGTCATGAGCAGTAGGGTCACCAGCACAAAAGTGCCTGTGGACATGGCTCCGGTGAGGAGCAGGTGGACAGGCTTCAGGAAGTCTGGGCCATGGGAATGTGGTTAGAGGGAAAGTGAGAGCACTGAGCCCTCTGTGACCTTGACCCCATCCTAAACTCAACCATATCCTCCAGCCCATCCCGATTCCCAACCTAACCCCATTCTAATTTCCAAACCCATCTCTAAACTCAATCCCAGCTCAGTCCATCCATAACCCTATCTCTACCCCATCCATAATCACCAGCCCCAACCCAACTCACCAAGCCAGCTCTAAACCCAATCCCACCCCAAGCCAAACACATCCCATCCTTTAATCCCAGCTCCAACCCCTAATTTATCACCATCCCAACCCCCCCATCCTAACCTCATTCTTTAAAAAAAAAAAAAGAATTTTTTTTTTTATTTTTAGAGAGAGAGGAAGGGAGGGAGAAAGAAAAGGAGAGATATATCAATGTGTTGTTGCCTCTTGAGTGTCCCCTGCTGGGGACCTGGCCTGCAACCCAGGCATATGCCCTGACTGGGAATCGAACTGGTGACCCTTTGGTTTGCAGGCCAGCCCTCAATCCATTGAGCCACACCAGCCAGGGCCTAACCCCATTCTTATTGACAAACCCAACCCCAAACCCAAACCCAAACTCATCCTGAGACTTATCCTTAACCTCATTCCTATCCTGATACCAGATCATTTCCAATCTCAACTCCAGCCCCAGTCCCATACCCACATCCTTCTTCATACTTCTCCACAAACCCTACACATCCAGTCTCAACTCCGCCCCATTTCCTCTTCATCCCACTTCCAGGTTCAAGGCTTTAACCCTGTTTCTCATCTCCTTAAACCTCAACCTCTACCCATTGACCAAAGAAAAGTGGATCTTGCCTGATCCTGGGAGGGAACCTCTAAACTCTTGGAATATCCTGCCTGATAAATGTCTCTGTTTACCTGGAGTCCTTGGGCCATACCAGATAGTTTAGGCTATGAATGTGGTTTGTGGAGAGGTGTGTATTATATTGGTTTGACCTCTGGAGAAGCTGGAAACTGAATAACTAACGTCGTCCTGGTGGGTGCTCCCTGCTCACAAAACAGACATCCCATGAAAAGCCTGGATACCAGGGTTTGGGTGAGCTTCACCTGTTGGCAGTGCTGAGTGTCGTCACACGCCATTTCTGGGAGAAGTAAGTGGTGCTGCTGCGACACCTCTGGGGGAGGCAACTGGGAGCTGGTGCCTGGTCCCGCCTGGACGCTGCCCTGGGAGGCTCCCGCCTGTGCTGATGTGAATCTGCACCATTGACTACAAGTGCAACAGTTTTCCTGAGCTCCATGAGTCCTTCCAGCAGCTCATTGAATCTGGGGTGGTCTTGAGGACCCCTGAACTGCAGTGAGTGAAGGGGGATTAAGTGAGAGAGTTACTGGGGGCCAGAATACGTGGCATTTTTGTGTGGCCTTGATAGACTTTAGCTTTTCACCCGAGATCAGAGCCACTGGAGGGCTTCAAGCAGTAGTGACGTGATTTTAATAAATTCTCTTCGAGATGCTACATAGAGAATGAACTGTAGGACTGTAGGGGGTGGAGGGTAAGGGCTGAGCTGGTTACAAGGGTGCGTCAATACACCAGGTGATAAATGAGGGTGGCTTGCATTAGGGTAGAAACTGGTTAAGCAGGACAGGATCAAACTGCAAACACATTTCTAAAGGAGAGCCGGCACTACTGGCTGACAAATCAGATGGGGGATGTAAGAGAGAGAAAACAACGAAGGATGATCCCCACATTTGTGACTTGAGCGGCTGGGTAAAAATGGGAATTGTCATTTGCTGAGATGGGGGAGACCATGGGTGGAGCCGGTATGGGGGGTGAGAGAGACCAGAAACTCAGTCAGATACGTGAGGTGTGAGATGTCTCTTCTTGGCGAGGGGAAATGTTGAGTAAGAAGTTAGCGATGTGAGTTTGTGGTTATGACATCATTCTTGCCAGAGTAAGCCCCTATAAATATGATCCCTGGAATAAGCCTCAGTAAATATTTCTACTTAAAGAGGCCTCATTAAAGTGTAATTAGAGAAGGCCTCAATTGCCATTATTATTGGAAGAAGGCTCTATAAACATTGTATTACTATTATTTGAGAAGGCCCCAATAAACATTATTTCCAGGGAGTCAGACTCTATTAATATAACCATTACTAGCATAGGCTGCGATAAACGTTCTCATTGTTAGAACTGGCCTGTTAAATAGTCTTAGTATTTTATGACCGGCATCAGTAACTCCCAGGGCAGTTGGTATCAGTTTGTTGAGTAAAGTAATGACTGTATGGAGAGAAAGTCAAGGTCCCGAATGGTGTGTGAAGAAGCAGGTGGAGGAGGTGAAGCATCAGAGTTCTGGTGTTTGCAGTGGGAGGAACTCCTTAGGAGGGGAGAGGGCATTGGGAGAGCCAGCTGGAGGTGGGGCAGGGCAGTTGGGGAGGGAAGCTGTTTTTTTTGGGGGGGGTTGTTTGTTTTTAACCAAGCTTTCTATTTATCCTATCATCCTACTGTGGTGTTGTCATTTACAATAAAAAATGCATATTTGGTTGAGTCCTGATTACAATAGCTCCTAAAGCCCCTGGAATTTCCCAAGTCACAAAAGCCATAAAGGTGTCTTTTGCTATGGAAAGGGTTGACTTCTGTAGCCCACGTAAGGACTGAGGAATATTTGCCAGTGGAGCCGATCGTGTTGGAGGGTTGGAATGTCCAGTCTCAGCCCCTGACCTCCAGAGAGGAGAGAGGAGCTGGAGGTTGAGTTCAATCACTGATGGTCAGAGATTTAATCAATCACACTTATGTAATGAAACCTCCTCAGGGAGCTTCAGGGGTGGTGAACCCTTGACGATTTGGGGAGAATGGCGACTTTGGAGAGAATGAGGAGCTCCGGGCGCTTTCCCACACCTTCCCACACGTGGCCCTATGCATCCCTTCCATATGGCCATTCCTGAGTTACATCCTTTTATTAAAAACTGGCAATCTAGTAAGTAATGTGTTTTCCTGAGTTCTGTGAGCCACTCTAGCAAGTGAATGGAACCCAAGGAGGGGGGCGTGGGAGCCTCCAATTTATAGCTGGTGGCCAGAAACTCAGGTGACATCCTGGACTAGTAGTTGCCACCAGAAGGGGGGACAGCGGCAGTCTTGTAAGACTGAGCCCTTAACCTGTGGAATCTGGTGCTATCTCCAGGTCAATGATGACAGAATTAACTGCTTGGTAGTGTGAGGGAGAAACACACACATGGGAACTGGTGTCCAACTGGCCCTGCACATCAGGTTCCTAGAAGCTGAACTGTTGCCTGTGTGGGGCTGTGTGATTGACCTCTGTCCCCTCACCTGTGGAAACAGCAGGTTGGGTTGCTATCATACACTCCCCCTCCCAACCCCATCCACGACACGTACCGTACGCCTCAGGGAGTCACACTAGAGTAGTTTCACTTCAATTTTATTATTAGACTCCCCCAAATCGCTCTAACAGATACTCCATTACTCAAACAACCACCCTGGTAGGTGGGGCCTTGGTTCTTCTTAGCTCCCTCCCACCAGGCCCCATTCTTCCTTCTTCCCCTGCAGGACTCAGGAGTCAGGCAACCCCACCCAGAGTCCAGGATGGAGCTCCCCTCATGCCCCCCAGGAACCAGGATTTTAGGCCTCTAGACACCCCCTCTTATCAGGGACCTCATTTTCTCTTCCTGGTGAAGCTGATGAATACACCTGGGCTCAGCGGGACGTCGACAGCCGCTGACATTCATGCATCCGGTAGGCACACATGTAGAAAATTCCTGTGGGAAAAAGGTCCTGATGGACGCCCTGCCCAAGCCTCAGCACCCCATTTCTCCCTGGGTGTCCACAGAGCCTGGGTCTTTCTTCTGGCTGGGTGCTGGGGGCCTGTGTGGGACACCCACTCATCCCCAGACACCATCCATCCCGCCCCCCAGCCCTGGTACCTGCAAAGAAGGTCATGAGCAGGGCCACCCAGCCCAGGATGTAAGACCAGGAAAAGCGCCAGTCCCCAAAACGGCGACCCAGGAAGCTGACGGTGACTCCAGTGTAAATGGCCAAGGCCAGCAGGACGCACAAGGCTGGGGAGAGAAGGTGGGGGTGGGAACCCGAGGAGGCTGAGCTTGGAGATGGGCATGGGGGTGAGACTGAGGAAAGGGGTGGGTGGGTGGGGATGGGGGTAAGGGTGAGGACAGGGGTGAGTTGAAAGTGGGAGTAAAGAGGGACAGGAAGTGGGGTTGGTGTGGACATGGGGGAGGCTTGTGCTACATCATAAAGAATCTGAGCCCTGGCTGGTGTGGCTCAGTGGACTGAGTGCTGACCTGTGAACCAAAAAGTCACCAGTTTTATTCCCAGTCAGGGCACATGCCTGGGTTGTGGGCCAGGTCTCTGGTAGAGGGACGCATGAGAGTCAACCACATATGGATGTTTCTCTCCCTCTCTTTCTCCTTCCCTTCCCCTCTCTAAAAATAAATAACATCTTTTTAAAAATTAAAACAAAAAGGATCTGACTGGTCTTTGTCTCTGGTTCCTGGGAGATGAACTTCTGAACCATTCTGAACCATTGGAATTTCCTGAGTTATGAGTGTCTTTGCTATGGTTGAGCCACTGGGATCACACCCATTACTGAGCTGAGATGACTCAGGAAAGGGAGCCAGTCAGCAGAAAGATCAAACACGGAAACAGAGAGTCGAGACTTTGAGCTGGTTGATACCAGCCCCTCTGAGGAGGGGACGGGAGAGGAGATTGAGTTTGGTCACGTGTGTGGCCAGTGATTCAAAGGCGAAACTCCAGGAAACACTCTGGATGCCAAGTGCCCTGGGGCGTTCTGGTTGATAAACAGCAGGTGTGCTGGGAGGGTGACAGCCCTCTCAGACTTCTCCCTCTGAATCTGTTCGTCATTTGGCTGGCCTTGAGCCGATCCTTTATAATAAAACTATAACTGTAAGTATAGTGCTTTTTGGAGCTTGGTGAGTTGTGACAAATTTTCAAACTTGAGTGGGTCCTGGGAACTCTCCAGTTTGGAGCAAGTTGGTCAAAAGTGCAAGTGGTGCCCTGGCTGGTGTAGCTCAGTGGATTGAACACGGGCTGCGAACCAAAGCATCGCAGGTTCAATTCCCAGTCAGGGCACATGCCTGGGTTGCAGGCCAGGTCCCCAATGGGGGCCATGTGAGAAGCAACCATACATTGATTCTCTCTCTCTCTCTCTCTCTCTCTCTCTTCCCCTCTCTAAAAATAAATAAATAAAACCTTTAAAAAATTTAAAAAAAAGTGCAAGTGGTACCCTGGATGGTGTGGCTCAGTGGTTTGAACACCAGCCTGCAAAACAAAGGGTGGCTGGTTCCATTCCCAGTCAGGGCACATGCCTGGGTTGCAGGCCAAGTCCCCATTTGGGGGTGTGGGAGAGGTAGCCACACACTAATGTTTCTCTCCCTCTCTTTCTCCCTCCCTTCCCTTCTCTGAAAATAAATAAATAAAAAATATATATTTTAAAGTGCAAGTGGTTTGGGAACCCCACTTGGAGCTGAAGTTGGTGCAGTCTTTTTTGGGAACCATGCCCTTACTCCTGTGGCGTCTGACACTAACTCTGGGTGGTCGTGCCAGACTGAACTGCTGTGTTGGAATAGGTGGAATGGGAAACAGCCTTGGAACTGGTGTCAAGTGTGGGGCTGGGATTAGGCTGGGGACGGGGTTGAGAGTGAAGAGTCGGGGATGAGAGTGTAGTTCCGGGCGGGCGGGGATGGGTTGGGGCTGGAGACGGGCAGGGCGCAGGAAGACGGGTAGTGTAGCGGGAGTCCACTCACTGGAGGCGAAAAACAGGATGCCGGCGGAGAAGGGTCGGGAGAGGCGGTTGAAGGCAGGCTGCTGAGCGAAGGCCAGGATGCCCATGATGATGCCGGAGGTGGCGCACAGGCAGGACAGGATCATGAAGGCCCGGGTGGCATTCCAGTACGCTGTGGGAGCACCACACGGTCACTCCCAGGCCTCCCCTGCCCTCAGCGGCAAAGGCCGCCACCTCTGGCGGCAGCCTTGCCTTACCCCGCTCCGTATCCCTCGCCCAGCTTCTCCTTCACCTGCGCCCTCGCCTTCACCTGGCAGACTCCTGTCCATCCTCCAAACCCCCGCCTCTAGGAAGCATCCCTTTACTCCTAGGCAGCACCCTCACCCCCTGTTCGGGGCTGTGACTCTGGACTGTGTCTGCCTCGCCCTGCAGCCCGATTGCTCCCCGAGGACAGGGACTGTGTTGATTCTACCTCGCGGTATCCCCAGCATAGGTTTGGTGTGCACACGTCCTGGAGAAATGTCTGCTGGGTGAATGAATGAATAAATGAATGAATGATGCGGATTCTCCATATCGCCCTGCTCATCATTCTTTATCCTATCTCCCATTGCTCTATTTCATTTCTTTCTTACCACTGGCCTGTATCTGAAGACGCTCCATTTATTTCTTTTTAACTTGTTTTGATGTCTGTCCCTCCCCAGTGAATTCTCAGCTCTGGGAGAGCAGAGGTCTTGCTACATCCCCAGCACCTTGCGCCTGGCACATGGTGGCTACTCAATAAATAACCAATTGAAAGAGTGGATAGTAAGCACTGTGGATGGTTATTCTCTCTTTTCATAAAATCTGCATTGTGTAATATACTATATCCCACATAGAGATATAGTATTTACATAATATATATTATTTACATACTATATAATATACATACATAATATACACTGCAAGAGCTCTGTACTTACTATTCTCACCCCCATATTTATAATATATATTGTAACATACACATATACACACATACATACATATATATACATACATATATATATATATAATATATATAGCCTGGCACATAGCAAGTATAAAGAAAACACCTCATTCAGTACTTAGCAAATATAAGGTCTATCTTGCTTCTGTGTTCCCCAGTACCTAACATAGTTTTTTTTTTACAATTAAAGTTGACATTCAATATCATTTTATATTAGTTTCAGGTGTTCCACATACTTCTTAGACAATTATACAGTTTATGAAATAATCCCTCTGACAATTCAAATAGCCACCTGGAACCATATATAGTTGTTACATTATTATTTACTCAATTTCCTATGCTGTCCTTTACATCCCTGTGGCTCTTCTGTAACGATCAACCTGCACTTCTTAATCCCTTCACCTTTCCCACCCAGTCCCCTAACCTCCCCTCCCATCTGGTGACCATCAGTCTGTTCTCTGGGTCGATGAGTCTGCTTCTGTTTTGTTGATTCCTTTATTTTGTTGTTTAGATTCTACACATAAGTGAAATCATATATGGTATCTGTGTTTTTCTGACTTATTTCACTTAGCATAGTAACACAGTTCTTGATACATAGTAACTATTTAGAAACCGCTGTCCTGGCAACCCCAGCCCTGCCTGCCCTACCTGACCTCTGTTTTGTGCAGAGGTATCACCCCTCCCTACTGAACACCCCCCATCAGCCCATTCTGTAATTGCATTGAAGAACTGAAATCCCAGCTTTGTCCCTTTCATGCTCAGTGACCTTGGGTTGGTCCCTTTCCTTCTCTGAGCCATAGGCTCTGCCCCCAGGTGCAGCCCAGACCCCAGACCCTGCCCGGACCCTCACCGATGCTCTCCGTCTGCAGGTAGCACTTGTTCCCCAGGCAGTAGCGCCATAAACCCTGGTGGGCAAAGGACCCCGACAGCCGGTACTGCATCCAGTGGTCTGTCGCTGTGGCCACCACCAGGAGGATAGTCCCCACCCAGGCACAGAAGAGGCCACCACCCATGAAGCTGTACATGGTGACCTGTGAGGAAAGGGAGAGATGGGGTCAGGAGCCAAATTCCCGGGTCTGAGGGAGGAGGGGTCTGGACCGCTGGGTCTGAGAGAGGAGGGGTTGGGGGTCTGGACTCCAGGGTCTGAGGGAGGAGGGGCTGGGGGGCTGGACTCGAGGGCCTGAGGGAGGAGGGGCGGGGGGTCCAGACCCCTGGGTCTGAGGAAGGATGAACTGAGGACCTAGACCCGTGGGTCCTGGGGGAGAAAGAGCCTGGGGGACTTCCAGGTCCTAAGCCAGGAGGTGGGCTGGGCACTGGGACACCCAAATCCTTGGGGAAGGAGGAGGCCAGGGCCCTGGACCTCTCAGTGCAGGTGTGAGGGGATTAGGGGCTGGAATCCCACCAGGTCCTGGGGAGATGAAGGAGCTGGAGGACTGGATGTCTAGGTCTTGGGGGAGGAGGGTGCCGAGGGTCCCATGCTCGGTCCCTACCTGAGTGGTGGAGCCTGTCCTGAGCCCTCTGTCTGCCTCTGCCCCTCTGTGCAGACTGAGCCGAGCCAGGTTGCTGGCCTCTCTGCTCCCCGGGTCCCCCCAAATCCCTTAAGCCTCCCCACACAATGGCCCCACAGCCCAGCAGCTTCCAGCAGACAGAAGTGCAACGGTGGCAGAGGCCCCAAATGGAATTCGCTGAAGCAGGGATCTGGGCACTCCCTCCCTGCAGCCCCTGGCCCCACTGGCCTCCCTCCGTGACCCTCCCAACGACCCTGCCACCTTTCACAGGCCTTGCTCACAGCGCCCGCTGGGTGGGCCTGCACTGGGTAAGCATACACACAGACACAAGACAGAGGGAAAGTCATCCATTTATTGTTCAACCAGGACCCCTCACTCCCAGGGGCAGGAAACAGGGTGGTGCCTGGGTATACTGGGCCCAGGGGATTCTTCGTGGGTGGGGTCACAGGCCATGTCACAGTTGGGGCCAGGAGAGGAAGGAAGATGGGTTGGGTTTGGGGCTGAGTTTAGGGTGAAGTTAGGATGAGGGTTGGGCTGACCTGAAGTAGGTGGGGGATGAGGATGAGGAGGCTGAGGATGAGGGATTGGGAATAGGGTACTGAGGGTGGGGATGCAAAGGGGTTGAAGGGCAGGTGAATGGCTTGGGATCGAGAATGGGGTCCGGATGGGGCTGGAGGAGCCCTCGGGTTGAGAGTGAGCCGAGAGCTGCCACTATAGTTGGGGCTGCGGAGAGGCACTGGGTGTGAGGTTCAAGGATTTTTCCCACTTGGGATCCTAAGCCAGGTCTAGGTTTCACCGGGGTACTCCCAGGCCCCACTGCTGAGGCCATCGTTTGGGGGAAGGAGAGGAATGGGGTAGCTCTGACAAGGCTGAGGTCACCCTAGGCTCCAGGAAAAGCCTCTGGATGACTGTGAGTGGCACTCTCAGACTCCATGGTACTGGGCCCTTGGGGCCCTAGTATTCAGTGTCCCAGTCCTCAGTGGCAGGTGGCATGGCCAGCGGTGTCTCCGGACCTTGGGCTTCCTTCTTCTGATCCTGGGTAGGTGGTGGTGGTGGTGGTGACGAGGGCATCCTGGGTGGGGTCCTGGGGCCAGCCTCAGCATCCCCTGCCCAGACCCTCTTTGGCTGCCCAGACCTCCCAGGTCCCCGACGCTGCTGACCCCAGCCCCAACCTGGTCTTTCAGGGGTGTCCCAGCCCCCACGTCCCCTGAATGGCCTCCTGGCAGCACCTGGCTGGGCACGGCAAGCCTGCGCGTGGCAGGGGCAGGAGGGCAGAGACTGCTGCAGGGTATAGGCCCCCAGGAGGGCGCTATGCAGGAGGTAAGAGAGGGCATCCAGGCGAATGGGGACGGTGACAGAGGCCAGGTTCTCGGGGAGCCCCAGGTGGGCTGGATCTGGGGTGCCCAGGAGAGAAGATGGCGGGGTTGGGAAAGGCTCAGTCCCAGGTGACGGCAGGGACAGGTTGTTCCTGAAATGCCAAGAGGACAGGTCAGTGGCCTCACCATCTGCATACCTTTCCCAGTGTGGCCTGACTGCCTCTGTGCCTCTGCTGGGATCGTCTCTCCATCCTGAGTTCTGCGTCCACCTCCCAGGCCCTCACCCCTTTCCCCCACCCCCTCTCTCTTTCTCCCCACACCGCTTTACGGAGAGACAGGCTGCTCTGCTGGAACTTCAGCATCAGGCAGAACTCAGCTTCAATTCCAGGCTGCCCAGCTCCCTCACGGTGGGCCTCAGGCCAAATCACTTTCCCATTGGGAACATTTATTTTTCACACCAAGAAAAAAAAAAGGCTTTGGGTGGCTCCCAAGATGCCTATGAAAGGGCTGGGCCTCCATTCCAGAAGTGCAGTCACTGTCCTGGCTGGTATGGCTCAGTGGATTGAGTACCAGCCTGCGAACCAGAGGGTTGAGTGTTCAATTTCTGGGTAGGGCCCATGCCTGGGTTGCAGGCCAGGTTCCCAGTAGGGGACACATGAGAAGCAACCACATACTGATGTTTCTCTCCCTCTCTCTCTCCCTCCCTTCCCCTCTCTCTAAAAATAAATTAATAATTTTTAAGTGCAGGCATTTATTATTTCTCAGGACCTATGGCTGTTTCTGGCATTTTCCATGCTCCTGGTTCTTTCTAGAAATTTCTCTCTGTTCTACAAATATCTGTTTGTAGTGCCCCCCCGGTTCTAAGTATCTTGTTCAACTCTGTCACCAAGCTCCTTTAAGATGCTGTTTCAATGTGATGATACCCGAGGCTTTTATTTTTTTTGATAACTCTCTCTGGGTTTGTTCAACTTTCTGTGATTTGCTCAGACCACCCTCCACTCTCTGGGGCTCTGTCCTCCCCGCGGGAAGTCTTGAGCTTCTCACCCTTCCGGCCCTGTCCCTTCTTCCTTCTGTTGCTCCATCTTCACGAGGGTCTCTCCAGTCTGTTCTAGAACCTTCACCTGAATTTTTCCAGGGCCGGAGGAGGTGGGAGGGGTCCGGGAAGAAAGCGGGCGGGGCTTTGTCAGAAATGGGGCGTGGCCTGCAGGGCGTGTGGAAACTTGAGAAAGAGTGTGCAGCGGGTTCCATATAGTTAGTTCCTCAAGCCCAGTCAGCTCACGAGGCGGCCTCCGTCCCCCTAGATCCAGGAGTCCAGATTCCCAGCCCTTCATCTCTTCCCATCTGTATTCCTGTTTTCTGGGGGTCTTCTTGTGTTCTTTAGGACTCAAGGGACATTTAGACGGAAATCTGCAGGTCTGGATCCTCCCCACGGTGGAGGAGTTAGTAGATGGGCGGGGAGTTTTAGGAGCTGGATTCCGTTCTAGGCTCTGTCTTCTGATTTGCTTTGCGTCCTTAAATCCTTCTAGTTTCTAGGTTTCGGTTTCCCCATCTGACAAATGGGGTTATATTACCTTCCAGGTTCTTGGGAAGTTTAAAGGGTACCATATGCAGAATGTATCAACACAGAATCTGAACTATAATTAGTCTCAGCAAAAATGAGTTACTCATCATTACTGCTGGTAGTCGTGGCAGCATTTTATTGAGAAACAATAGTCATTCTTCTACCCATTCATTTAAGAAGTAAGCTCTCAGAGCCTGCTATGTGCTAGGCTGGGCGCTGGGGATGTAACCCGGGATAAAATAGATGCAGCCCCTACCCCCACACGTGTTGAAAGAGACAGACAATACACAAACCACACGTTTCCTATAAGTACTGTGAAGGTGTAAAGTCGGGGCAAGGGGACACAGAGGCACCGGAAGCAGTTATTTTAGATAAGATGGTTAGGGAAGGCACAGAAGGCCTGGGACTTATTTGCAGTGGAGCAAACAGCAAATACAAAGGATTGAGGGTGCAATAAGCATAGTGTTGGAGGGGCTAGGCAGAAATGAGGGATTTGAGGAGGGATTGGTTGATTAAAAAAAAAATTGTTTGGCCCTGGCTGGTGTGGCTCAGTGGATTGAGTGCCTGCCTTCAAATCAAGGGGTCGCCGTTTTGATTCCTGGTCAGAGCACGTGCCTGGGTTGCAGGCCAGGTCCCCAGCTGGGGGCACATGAGAGGCAACCACATATTGATGTATCTCTCCCTCTCTTTTTCCCTTCCCCTCTCTCTAAAATTAAATAAATAAAAGCTTTAAAAAATGTTTGTCCTGGCCTCATGGCTCAATTGGCTGGAGCATCATCATTCAGTGCACCCAAGGGTTGCTGGTTTGATTCCTGGTCAGGGCACATACCTAGGTTGTGGGGTTCAATCCCTAGTTTGGGCAAGTAGGGGAGGCAACAAACTGATGTTTCTCTCTCACATTATGTCTCTCTCCCTCTCTTTCCCCTTCCCATTCTCTGTCTCTAAAATCAGTGGGAATATGTCCTTGGGTGAGGATAAAAATAAATAAAATAGTTTTGAAATATTTTTATATCTACAGAAGTTTTATAACGCTAATATAATTAACCAATGTCACTCCAATAAATTTAATAAAACCAAAAGAAGACATTTGACTGCATTTAAAAAGTGTTTGTAGTTCTAACACCTTTAAAAACTGCCAAATTCAAGCATATTTTAATAAAAATATTGATTTAAATTTTTTTAAAAAGATAATAGAGTTTCCATATACTCCTCACCTAGCTTCCCTAATGTTAGCTTCTTAGATTATTGTGCATTTGTCACAAGTAAGAAATCAACATGATATTAACTAATTTTTAGACTGATGCCTCCCCCCTTTTTTTTCTCCTGTTCCAGAATCCAGTGCAGGATGTCCTTTAATCATCACCTCTCCTTTGAATTCTCTGGTCAGAGGCAGTTTATCTTTCTTTTTTTTCCCCCACAGTCTTGACAGGCTTGAGGAATACTAGTAGCTATCTTATAAAATAGAGGTCTATTTCAATGAATAACTCACTAAATTTTTATTTCAGAGAGGATCAAACTGTGCCCTGGAGAGGTTAGGTTGCCTAGGGCAACAGAGCTAGTAAATGGAATGGTATGGTAGAGATTTGAACCTGGGGCCACCTGGCTCCAGAGCCTGTGCTTTTTTTTAATGGAGACACAAGTAGAAGCTATAGTGCAAAGGACCTTGTAAACCACAGCAAAGACTTTGGACATGTTTTTTTTTTAACTTCTAGAATACTAAGATGACTTTGAACATTTGAAAGCAGGGGTGTGACATAGTTTGATTTACAGTTTCAGAAGAGCATTATGTCTGCACTTTGGAGAATGGATTGTAGTGCAAAGCAAGTGTGGATGCGTGGAAGCCCTGGGAGGAAGCTGCTATGGACCAGCAAGGGGTGGCAGTGACATTGAGGGGGTGGAGATGGAAAAATGGGAACGAATTTGAGATGCACAGGTGGCCCCTGAACTACATGGGTTTGAACTGTGCTGGTCCACTTATATGCAGATGTCATTAATAATACATACAGTACTGTAAATGTATTATCTCTCCCTTGTGATTTTTAAATAACATTTTCTTTAGCTTCCTTTACTGTAAGAATACACTATGTAATACATAGCACATACAAAATGTGCTAATTGTCTGTTTATGTTTTCCTTAAGGCTTCTGGTCAGCAGTAAGATATAAGTAGTTAAGTTTTGGGGAAGTCAAAAGTTACACCTGAGAAAACCCGACTGCACAGAGGTAAGTACCCTAACACCCACATTGTTCCAGAGTCCATTGACAGTATTTTGGAGGAAGAACTATCAGGATTTGCTGCAGACCTTCTGGGGTGGATAATGGGGAATCAACGAGGCAAAGTCTTCAGCCTGCACTATCCCTTTGAACACGGACCTTCTTACAACAGGTTCACGACATCCCATTTTAAGGATAAAAACATCGGAGACGGTAGCTTTCACTTTCTGAGTTCTCTCGAATCCAGACCCTTGGCTGGATGATGCTGGGGACACCAAAATGATGCAAAACCGTAACATTCCAGGGTGATCAGAGCAGGGACGCATGGAGGAACATGAGCACTAAGAAACTTAAGCAAGGAAAAGAGTGTTGCCTGCTGGCGAAGGGTGGAGGATAAGGTCAGGGAGGTGTTTTTAGAGGAGGTGATCCCTTCTTGATTAAAAAAAAAAAGTTTTATCAAGAAGGCAGGCTTTCCTTTGCTGGAGGCTATGATTAGGACCTGGGTCTCCAGATTAGAAGTTTGGAGCTTATGTACAACCAGGGTTTATAAATTAAAGGTTCGAATCCTTGCCATTTACCAGCGCGTGACCCAGCCATGCTGCTTAGGCGCTTTGAGCGCTCACTGCTCAATTCCAGCGTAAGGAATTGAGGGTAACGCTCCTGGTTTGGTTTTGTTAGGTTTCCCCGCGATCTCGGTATAATTTCTTCACGGACCACGTACCTGGCGCTTTAGGGTTCCCTCCCAAGCTAGGAGAGACGAGGCGGGGTCTTGCGCCTCTAAAGAAATGCCTTTCACCTAGCTTTCAAAATTAAAAGCCAAGTTCTGAAAACCGACCAATCCGTGAAGCTTCCGATTAGCGGGGGACTCTTTAGCCCTGCCCACTCCTTGTTCCGTAGGGCAGCGCGAGACACCATCCTCAGCTCTGATTGGAGGGTGAGCTTGAGTTTCAGGCCGCCTTCGCTCTTTGATTGGCAACTGTTCTGAACGCCAGCCTCTCTTGCGCCCTCTGATTGGCTGTCCTTTTTCCGCATCTTCTTCGAGGCTGTAGTAACTGACAGTTACGCTTTGCCCTCTAGCGGTGGTGGTGGTCCTGGCTGGCGAAGGGTAGCGTCGGCCGCGTCCGGGGAGACGGAGCCCAGGACTTGAGATCAGGTCTAAGCTTGGAGAGGACGGGGGAGCCCTGGGCTGAGGGACCAACCCCTCCTTTCAATAACCCCCACAGGCATCGGACAGTCGGAGATGCAAGATTCGACTTTCAGGGCCTCCCCAGCGCACAGGGTTCCCGGATTCCTTCAGGAGGGCCTTTACCCCACTTCCGGCCCCCACCCGGAAACCCCGAGGATCCTGCGCTCTCCCTGGAGACTTACCCACTCCCTCAGCGCAATTTGGGTTGGCGACCAGGGCCTCCAGGTCTTGGGGACTCGGTCACTGTCACCCCTATCGGCCCTTACATCCTCCCTCCTACCCCGAGGACGGCTCTCACTTAACTCTCCCCTCCCAGCCCCTTAAAGGCCCAGAGGTCACTTTTAGACTTGGACCTGAAAGTTCTTCGCCCCTCATTTCTAGACCGCAGACTCCAAAGAGGGGTTCCCGGGCGCACCCGTCAGGAGTCCCACACTACCTGTTGATGTCACCCATCCTCCGTCCCCCAGTGTCTCGGTCCTTCAGGATGGCGATGGGACATCCCCACCCTCAGGAGTTCAGATTCCCTCTCTCCACATTCTTCCAGGCCCTCACCTCACTCCCTTGGGAAGTCCTGGGACCCTGCAAGTTCTAGGGGGAGGGCCATCCTGAGGGCCCCCCACTCTTTCAAAATTTTACTTATTTATTTTTAGAGAGGAGGCTCACCCCCTGCTGGAGACCTGATCTGCAGCCCCAGCATGTGCCCTGACTGGGAATCCAACCGGCAGTTTTTCAGTTTGCTCAGTCCACTGAGCCATACCAGCCAGGGCAAGGGTCCCCGGTCTTTCAGGAGGCCCCAGGTATAATTCGGTAGCCAGGGGAGGTGGTCTCCAGGGAAATCTCTACCTTCAGGTCCATATTCCTTACTCCTGTTCTTAGGGTCCACCCTTCACTACCATTCTCCCCTCCCCCTGCCCCTGCCTTTTTGTGTTTTATTGACACTTTTGAAATTCAGGAGGTCATCATTAAGGGCTCCCCACCCCCTGCCACTTTCTGAGGTCTTCTCTGCCCCACTTTCTGAGGTCTTCTCTGCCCCTTTGGCATCCACTGTCTCCTGAAGGCCTCCCTCCTCACTACTAGCTCCTTCACCCTAAGGTGTCCTTCCCAGTAAAGGGGGTCATTCCTG